TATGAAGTCTAATTATATGAATATGAACGTTTCAAATATATAGCGTTATACATACAGTAATTAATCATTTTTAGTGCTGTTAAATGATTAATCGCGATTAAATCGCATCCAAAATAAACGTTTGTTTACATAATGTGTTTGTGTTGTGTATATTTATTATGTATATATTAATACACACACACACACACACACATACAGTATATATTTTGAAAATATTTACATGTATATATTTATATTCATATAATTTATATTTTATATAAATATATAATTAATATATAAACAACATCTCTCTTATTTATATATACATAATAAATACATGCACACACACATATTATGTAAACTAAAACTTTTATTTTGGATGCGATTAATCATTTGACAACACTAATAATTTTATATAGATAGTATAAAATATGTGTGTGTATTTAAACACACACCCATCTTCTGAAGTCATATGATGCCGAGATCCAAATTTAAGTCACAATTCATTAAAAAATCATCTCTTCCATTCGAAAGCATACAGAGATCACGGATTTGAATGAGATGCAAAAGCTGTCGTATGACTTCAGGAGACATATATACCACTTCTGCATTGTAAGTTTTGTCATTTTAACCTGAAAAGTGTAGTTAAAAAGTGATTTCATAGTTGCTAGAAGGACATTTTTAGGCAACTTTATCTCACACAACCAAAAAAGACGAGCAGAAATAACCCCAGCAAGTCTGACTATTATAAGCCGGCTCATTATTAGCATTAGATAGCAAATTGTAGCAATAATATTGCTATTACAAGCCAAAACGCTCATTAATTCCTAATCTCAGGCACAATTAAAGGGTTTGATATTCCTCTGCATCTCTCCCCCTCGCCGCCTCGGCTCCTTTTCTGCCGTCGTTCTGCTCGCTAAGAGAAAGACAAAGATGCTCTGAGAGGTGCTGGATTGTGGGAGGAGAAATCTTCTTCTCTGTCTTCATCTCTGCGCTTAATGCAATCGCCGGCGTTTGATTGACAAGCATAACCAAAACCGAGCGATGCAAATAGCAGCAGGCTTTGCGCCCAGCACTTTTTTCGGCCCGCGTACAAGCGCGTTATTAAAATAACCCCACTTTTCAACGTGGCTTAATAAGCTACGGCTGTTAGCAGAACAAACGTACGCCGGGCCTATCCGCCGTTAGCCGAAATCTCAGAGACTGGCACGGGAGACGGGCCACGATACGGGCTCAAAACGGATGAATACTACACAAATTTAGCAGCGTGCCCACACGTTCCTGTTATTTATTTAATACGCCGTCTCTTTCCCCTCTCTTTTCTCAACGATTCACACTTTTCCCAGCAATTCCAAGCCAAGTTGCATGGCAACAGACAAGCTGTAGTTTGCAGACCCCCCTCCATCCTCCTGCCCGACTTTCCAACAGCGCAAAACTGCGACACAATTCAGGCGAAGGCACAGGAACCGAGGGGCAAAGGAAGGGGGGCGGCATGCAAATGATCGAACCCTAAACAACACTCAAGTCTGAAGAAAACAATAGCAGGCATTGAAAACACGAAGGCCGCGACTAGTGAACGCCGTCTCTGCCCTCCATCTGTGCATTCGGATCACGACTGCAATGCATTTGAAAACAAATGCATGCTGGAAAAAGCATGCACGGCGCACGTTACTTCCTGAACGCACCTCCAGGGTCAAGGTCATTTCTTTTTTTTTCTTTTTTATTGTGGCTGCAATTATTTATTTATTTGCTGCCGCCGCAGGAAACATTCATCAGAGGAGGAATTAAAATCAGCTCTCGCAGGCAACCCAAGGCGTAATAAAATGTCACTTTTTATAAAACGCACACTTTAACAATACAAATCTAAGGAAGCCTGCAGGTGCGGCATCCATATTGCACAAATTATGCATGAGCGTGTTTGTGCAGAAAACAAGCCCAACGCCGTCGTGCGGCATCTCAAACCCAAACATCTGCCACAACAATCAAACTCGCATCACAACGCAAAATTCTCACAGCCTGTGAACTGTGCATGTCACACACACACACACCTGAAGTTTGCAGGTCGCGTTTTCTCCACACACACACACACATTGCATATTTAAACCAAGCTTATAATTACTCAGTGGACCGTTACACAAAACGACCCGGCAAAAACACAAGGTTGGGATGCATTCGACATACTTGAGCCAGAGAAATGTCCGCTTCCCAGAGACGTCGGTCCGTTCTTCCCGCTGCTGACAGGAGGGGAAAACATCTACAAAACAATCATGACAACACATTAAAAACTTTCAGAACCCACCCTGAATCTAAGACTATAAAACACACACTGGTTAAAAGCATTTCAAACATGCTAATCACGGCATAATGCATTGCTTTAGATCATAAATGCATGCAATTTAATTTGATTAACCTACGTTAAACTCAAATATGATCCGACTGCAATGTCAAAACCTAGCCAAATTGCACATAATCAAGTGTCCTGAGTGCAGAAACTAGCCCGACTGTCACTTCAGCCTCTGTCTGTCTGAATAGAGTCGCTGCACACAGACAGCTGGAATATTTTTGGATCTGTGGCTTCATAAAAACACATTTCCTGAGTGAAAACTTCCCAAAAGCATTTCTCACAGGATGCACATTTTGCACTTTTTTTTACTAAACCAGATGAACCACTAGAATCTACTCTAATTGTCAAAAATCATTATGATGGAATTCCTATCAGAATTTGGAAGAAATCCTAATGGGATCAATCTAGAATTCGTCGGAATTCCAGGAGAATAGAACTGCATTTGGAGTGACTCCAAATTATAATGATGAGAAATTCCATTGGAAGCATTTTTTACGGTTCAACACAACATATGAATCTATTAAAGAAAAGGGAAAAAACACAAGAAAAGACTGAATAAAGTGGGATATACTACCATTGGTGTGGGGAACATTTTCAAATCGCTGTTTCGCATCTATAAGACAACAGAATTACTAATGCAACATCACATCTATCAAATCCACGCAAGCTTTTGCATCTTTCTTTCAGATTTCAAATGCAATTTACGCGGCGCAAAAGTCATCTTACAAGACTTCTACTGAATCATTTGCGCGCACAGAAACACAATGAAATGTGACAAAACGAAACAAAGTGTGATCATTGACCTCCGGCGCGCAGAAACGCGAAGTGACTTACCGCGCTGAAATCCAGCAAATCGCTCAGTTCTTTATCCGACCCTAACGCGGCCATTCTCTGATGATGATGATGGTGATGATGATGGTGATGATGCATTTTTAGAAATATCACATAAACCTAAAAACATGGAAACAGATCGCAATGAGAAAACACCCGATCAGGAGGAGCGTGTCTGATCTTCAGAAACACACACGCGCGCACACACACACACACACACACACGGACCCACGGAACGATCGAGCCCCAAAAAATCCACTCCGCGTGAAAAAGACACTGGTTCAGAGCAACATTTTGGCACAAGGTGAAGCGGACGCGCAGGTGTCCAGTGGCGCGATCGCGAACAAAGTCTCTCCAAGTGTCCCACTGGCTTCAACAATCCCAATCGAGACACGCGCTCGCTAACGGAGGGAGAATGTGGATTAAATAAACACGCAGATCTGCCTGTGATACGTTTCTTTCGGCTCCTGGACTGTTTTATTGACAGAACGGTGAAGTAGCGTTCCTCCGGATCAGTGTGCGCTTACAGCCATCTACTGCAGGAGCTCTCCGAACAGACACGGCGCGCGAGGAAAAGCACAACTTTGACTGCCACGACCTTAGAGTAAACGCTTGGTTCGAGATATACGAGTTTTAGTAATTGTTTCATATTTGTGCGCGCAACATGGAGAACAAATGACAGCTGAAATAAGCTTAGAGTCAACTTTGGGTCACTTCATTTTTTTTCTGAATAGAGAAAAAACCTTTTAAATCACTTTTGATCTTTACATAAAATTGAGGGAAAAAATAAATCAAGGGAAAAAGAAAATGAAAAGAAAAAAAAAGATATATATTTTAATAGAGGAAAACGTTTTTAATCACTTTTATCACCTTTCGAGAGGTTTAAATAAAAAAATAAA